GAGTGACTAATTCCTAACCTACATTTATATGCACTAGAATAAAAATTAATTTCAAATGGAAACTAAATTTATTATTACAGTAAATATTACATAAAATCATGTAAAGGTTCATCGTAACCTTTTTGTGGATTTATCTACTCATTATAAAATAAACAATCAAAGAAAGTATAAATAAATCCATACTTAATTGAAAGAAGAATACAAACTAGAAAAATTCTCAAAAAAAGGAATGGAAAGAGTTCTCATTCTTTAAACATACTCTCAGTCACTTGCTTGGATCCTAAAGAAATTTTTTTTGTCCTTGCCAATGACCTTCGCTCTCAATAACTCTAAACGTTGTTAAAAGTATGTCCTAACCAAAAATAAAGATGTTTAAGTCTCTACTCATGAGGTTCTTTAAATAGGATTTCAAAACCCAAATATTTCTTCAAAGTTAGATCTCTCAAAAGTAAGCACAATCGTGCTTGACTGTGATGTAGCTCAAAACACTCGTACTGGTTGCTAAGGTATGGCATGCTTGTTGTAGTGAAGCCTTATTTTCTATCCAATTAGGACCTAAAATGCACTCAAACCCAATTAATACATTCTCATAGTAAAGTACCTAATTAATATAAAAGTCGGTGTAAAAATCTAATAAAATAATGGTCACACATATAGATATACGTTGTAAAAGCATGCTAAAATATAGACATATCGAACTCCTTATATTTGAGATTTGCTTGCCCTTAAGCAAAGTCCTAATTAATAAAAAGGGAATAACTTGAAACATATCATTAAAATAAGAAACTTGAAACAAATGAGATCAAAATAATAAAAAAAGTAATATCACTCAACATAGGTAATCAAAAGGTTTCCTAATTAAAATCTTATATTCTTCAATTTTTCAAATGAAAGAAAGTTTTCCCTTCTTGTTCTTCCTTCTAAAACTGTCTTCTCAAACAACTATTTAAAAAATTGAGGTCTAGTTTATTTGGTCCTCAAATAAGGAACCAGGTTTGTTGTGTACTTGAAGCACTCATCACAGAATATATATGGTGTGGTTGGAAACACTATGCCAGAAATGAGATGTTAGAGCGGTTCTGGTTGAACATAGAGAGCAGTTATAAGTGTTATAAAATCTTACGTTATGCAATGTCTTGAATTTTGAAAAACGGTTATTTAACCTCAATCAAGCATGGACCAAGAGACAATGAGAAATGCTTCAAACTCAAATTTTGTTAAGTATTAAATACAACATTATGAGAAGAAAATGCTAACCAATGAATAAATAAGTTTGTTAACAAACTATCCAACTTGGATAATTTGAGATTGAAAATAATGATTTATTAATTATTATTTTCAATCTCAAATGGAAAACTAAGGTTTCATTCAATTTTAGATTTCAAATCATACCCTACAAAGTTTAATCACTAACAATACTCATGCATTCATAACATTCTATAAGACAGAACATCAATTTTATTCATACACAGAGCAAATATACATAACAGGAACAAAACAAATAACAATATCTGGTTCAATACATAAACTTAATTCAATTCCCAGAACAACATAACATCATGTTCCCTGCTTTCTGTTTATATTGGAATAACAAAAAAAAAAAAACACAACAAAACATGAGACTTCAATTCAGAAAATCAATTTCCATAACAATCAAATACATTTTCACATTAATCACTTGCATTACAATCAACCAGTGTTGCATTTTCACATTAATCTCTTGCATTACAGTTAACCAGTGTCTTAATATCATGTTCAACAAATCTTAAAAACTCATTCCAACAATATTTCAGAGGTTAACTAATCTAAGGTTTAACATTTTCAAATCAACTTTACAAAATAAAAACTAATTTCATGCTCTCTGTCACATAACAATAGTCAACATTTGAATATAATCAGTTCATACAAATACAACAACACTAACCTAAAATGAAACAAGTTCTACTAATTTGTCGCAGTTCACCTGAAGCTAAGTATGGAGGAGGGACATTTGTAACTGTTCAACGTCAATAATACAAGTGCGTTTCAGTGAACAAAGAGAATGAAAGAGTGTGAATGTCCAAATATAGCTAGAAAACAAAGAAATGATTATAAATATACCTTAAAATTGTGAATGCAATGTCAACGATGCTTGTTCTTCTGTAAATTTTTTTGAGAAAACACTGAACATAGACAAATTTAAAGTACAGACTTGGCGTAGGGACAGAGATAACCAGATTAGGGTTTAAGGTTTAATTTAAAAATACAACATCTGAGAACGGTTAAAAAATAACCGTTTTCTAATCTACACCTTTCAAAGCGGTTTTATATGTCAACCGCTCTGTAAAGTTATAAGAACGGTTCCACGTGAGAACCGCTTACTAAAGTATAGCACTTCTGAGAGCAGTTATTTAACAAATGCTCTCCAAAATACAATTACGACCTAGAACCACTCTAAGAAGTTAAATTTGGAGAGCAATTAGGGCAAAACTGCTCTCTTAGTGTTTTATAGAAAGCCGTCTTTACTCACTGTTATCTAAGTTGGTACTCCAAAAGTCAATTTCTGGTGTAGTGAAATATTTTAGAAATTAATATCATAAGTTCTATCACCAAGAAATTGTGAGAGAACAATCAAAGAAGAGAAAGGATTGAATATGAAAAATGAATCTATCTTGATTAAGAAACATAATACAAGAGTATTTATATACAAACAAAGAAAGCAAATTAACTATGATACCAACTCATTCACGTTGAGATAACAAACAATATAACAGGTTATAACAAAATGATGATTTGATATCCTTTTAAGGAATAGATCCACTTTAATTCAGACATCCTTGGGACCAAGTTTCTGTACTTAAATTGTGTTGAACCTGGAGACAATCTATTTCTTGGAGGTCTAAACTTAACTTTAGCAAATGAAATAACGGCTTTCATAAAGACAATCTATTTTAAATCAACGAACATCACCAGCTTTTTAAAAGACATCGATTTCCTAAAGTTACGGTAGAGAGCAAAGAGTACCTCTAAGAATCTGCCTTGAAACTCTTTTAACTGCTGACCAATTGAATTCTAGAATTTTGCATTAATTGGAAAATTTTATTATCTTGTAAACAGAGCCATATACAGTCGTATCAAGCACTAAATTTTTCCTAAACTAATAGTAATTTAGTCGTAAGATCATTGGCACAAGAGATCTATAAATGTTTTACTGAGAGAGAAACAAGCCCCCATTTGGTGCTCTAGCTTTTACATTTGATCTTTAGAAGATAGTGCAATTTCATTTATATCTTTCATAACAAAGTTAAAATTTATACTCATGATTTATTCTTTATCGTTATAATACTATTAATAACAGGAATACAAATAACAAAAATAAAAACATAACAAAGTACTTATATAAAGATTAATGTTTTTTTAAGTATAAAAACTAATTCATAAACAAATATTATTTATACAAACTAAATATATAATTTAACTAAATAATAATCTCATCAACTTAGAAAAATGTAGTCTACAGTGCAGCTTTAAAGAAAAGAGCAGAATAACATTTAGTGGCTTTGTAACCAAGGTGACATGTGGAGCTGAGCTTTGCAAACCAATCAGGGGCACTTGTTTCAGTTCATGCAGTTCCTTATTTAGCCTGAAAAGCAAAGTCTCCATTATAGACTTCAAATCCTTGTGGTTGACTCATATATGAAGAGACTATAGGTACAAGAGGGAGGCAAAATTATGCCTTTTTCAACTTTATGAACACTTTCTAAAACATAAACAAGTCTCTTAAGAATAGATACTTGGATAATTTAGACAATATCTAACTTATACTTGAATGAGAATGCAGCTCTTTCAACCCAGCATTCCCTTCTTTATCAACCAAGTGTCATGTGTTTGATTTCAACTTCAATTTATGGGCAGCAACAAATTCTAGCGGTTGAATTGCATTAATGCTTCTGTATTGCAGTTGGAAGTTTAAGGCAGAAACACTAATATACCTTTCCTTGTCAGCTTATGGCAAAAACTTGAATTTTTGCATGTACTTGGTGAATGTCTTGTTAGTAAAACATTCTGTTAAAACTTCCAGAATGGCTTATGTCTTGAGGCTGTACCAGTTTGTCACTTAGAAACTTTATAATTGGATTATATTGAGCTTTTTAATTAAAGTTTAGTGTTTCTTGAAAATCTAAGACTTTAAAATCCTGACTCACTTTAGTTATAGGGTCAGAACATCTCAAATAAATGGCTTAAGTATATTTTGTCCAAATAATTTTTTAATTATTCTAATTAATTCTTTCACTCTAAAATTTTATCTAATAATTAACACAAATATTACAAAGATATAATATACCTATGATTTATACAAATCAACGTAAAAAAATATGTATAAAATAATTAAATAAAAAAATTATAATATTTTATTTAAATATTTTATACATTTTTTCTTTACTAATTTATATAAATCAATAACATGTTGTTATACTTTCGTTATATTTTTGTTTATTATTACATGAGAGTTTGGAACAAGGGACTTAATTTGAATAGTTGAAAAATCAAGATTAAATGCGACCAATTAAAATTAGAGGATAAAATTGCACATAAATTACAGTATAAGAAATTTAAAAAGTATAATTAAGGTCAATTTGTGAGGCATTAGAAAGTAAACTGAGAACATGTATTTTCTGAATGTAGTGTTAACGATGACACGAGTTTGCTACCCAACAAATCTTATAAATAATAAAAATTTCAGTCAGAGAAAAGGGATCTTAGGAGTTTGTAAGATCTAAAACAAGATTCTGAGGCAATGTTGAATTCCTAAAGTAATTATCTTTTATATGAGCGAGAAGGAGAAGCTAAGCTAAGAGGGAAAAAACCTGCTTCAATTTCAACGAATTTACAATTATTTGTTGTCTGGTGTGTAATTTTTTTCTCATTTTTATTGATTACTCCTTTTGTCACTTTTACCAAGTGCAACAAAAAACGCTTAACATCTGATGGTTTGATCAAAAGAACGAACATACTAATTGGAAGAGAATAATTTTCTTTTACTCGCTTTATACCCCTCTTACGGGGATATAAATTGAATCTCATTCATAAAGGTGAATAGTAGTCCCTCTCATAGACTGCAATTACATAGTGCATAGCATAGCCTTCACCCTGTTTTTAAACATGCAAAATGCTCATAGTGCATGTGCAACAATACTAAATTCTAACTGCACACCAAATTTCGCTGCTTTGATGCCGATACAATAAGAAGCACATTTTAACACAGGAGTCTTCAATTAACAAGTTGAGCTAAGGATGAACAAATCTTACTTCATCACATATTACCAATAAAAACTTGCAACCAATGAACGCACTAAATGCTCTCAAAGACGGTGTAGTGTTGGATTGATGAAGCACCTTTTTGTCTTCTATATTTGACAAAAACCTGTTTGGCGATTATTTAATTTCATCTAATTAAGCCACTGACAGAAACATCAGGTTTCTTGTAACGGGCTTTCTTTCTGCCTGTTTACTGAGGCTTTGGAAAAACAAAAATAACGGCCCTTTAGCTTTTTCTTAACAGACGTTCTCTTTGGGGATTCATCATCATGTGGATGACTTGAGCAAGATGGTCCAGCAACATCATTCTCAATGCAAATACCCTTCTGCTTATCTATTGATCTAGGTGATGAAAACGATGATACTGAAAAGGAACTAGAACATGATCTTCTTGAAACCCTTACTTGTGGCATGGGGTGAATGTCTCCATGCACAACTCCGGAAGCAAATCTCTTCTTGGCATTTGGACTTGACTGGTAACTCCTGACAGATAGGTTCCTTTTGTTGTTAGGAAGTGCTGAATGCCTAAAAAATCTCTGTCTAAGTGGGGTTGGAGTTTCTTCTGTGCAGTCCCATTTCCTGCATGAGTCCACTGAACCCTCATCCACTGATTTCTTGAACCCCTCAGTTTTCTTGTCCTTAACTAGTGGCCACTGAAGGACTCGTTTCAACCCTGATGCCACTGAAGGCCTTTTGCTAGTTGTTGAGCATCTATTCTCTGCTGTTGAGTCATATGCAGTGAGTTCTGATGAAGATGAACTCATACCTGCACTTCCCTGGTCAGTACTTGCATCTGATGCATTTTCAATTCCTGTGTACAAAAACATTTGAGTGTCTGAAATTCTGAATGATGTTCCAGGACTGCCACCAATACTATGCATTTTCACGTGGGAAGCTATGGCTTTTCTTGAATTATAACCTTGATAATTGAACATTCCCCCAGCTGCAATCAATTTCCTGATTAGTACATTTGATACTGCTGAGTTAGGACTTTGCTTAAGGTAATCAAGTGGGGTCATGCCATCAACATCACTCACATTGACATTTATTTGTGGAGCAGTCATCAAGAGTTTCACAATATCAGTGTGAATTTTCCCTATTGTGGCAATGTGGAGAGCAGTTCTTCCATCAGCGTTCTTTACATTGATGATTTCCTCAATGTGAAAATTTTCATCACTTACTAACTGCCTCAAAAGCTCAACCTGTCTGTCCAATCTTCTAAATGAGGGAGATTGAAAACCGGACACGGCTTTATGGAGGAAAGTTTCTCCAGTGTTGTTTCTCAGAGAGATCAATGCGGGAGATGTAGAAATTAGAGCTTTAACTGCTGCTAATTGGCCCCTGTAAGCAGCCACATGCAAAGCAGTGTTTCCTTGATGGTCTGTGGAGTTTATTATGTCAAAGGATGATTTGAGGTATTTGACCACCTGCATGAATGCCATGAATACAAGATGCTTTGACAACATATGACAGCAATAAAAACAGTGTGGGAAGCATTGTTATTTCAGTCAAGTATTCCATGCAGTGTGTTTGTTGCAGCATGCATTCAAAGCATCTTGTATTCAATCAATGCCTAAGAAAACACGATATGCATTTTCGACCAATCACTCACTTAACCCCTTATATTCTATGTTTTAGTCAATTTAAATTCTTGGCTTTACTAAAACTTTACTCCCTAACTTTGGAAAACATCATTCATCGGTCCTTCACATCAATGAAAAAAGAATTAGATTTATAATTAAAACTGAAAATAGTAAATGTTTTCTGAAACCAAACATTCCGAGTTTTTCATTTTGTAAACATAACTATTTTGACAATTTTAGAGACACACCTGCTAATCCACGATAATAATCATCTGCAGAAGATAGTGAAGAACACGCCATATAGAGTGGCACTAGCACCAACCATTTGGTGTATAACAACGGAACAGTTGTTAAAAACAAAAAAGAGAACAAAAAGAGTGAAAGCTAACCTGAACCTGGCCTCTGGCTGAAGCAGAATGCAAAATAGTAGACCCCTGAGCATCTCTATAAGCCAAAACATCAGAGCAATCAGCAAGAAGCTCCTCCAAAATCTCCACACTCCCTCCTCTAGCAGCAGCATGAAGAGCTCTATTAGTCATCTCCCACCTATAAACAGGAGGAACAGCCCCAACATGCTCCTCCAAAACCCCACCTTTGCCAGTAACAAACCTCGGGGAAACCGCAAAATCAAACAGCACCTTAAAAACCTCAAAATTCTTGCCCCTTGAAGCAGCATAAAAAACATCACTAACATTATACTCTCCCTCTCCAAACACCAACCGAGGGTCCCTCTCAAGAAGCTGCTGAACAAAACCAAAGTCCCCAGCTGATGCAGCAGTGTACATTAACCATCCACCATACCCTGCACGCAACACAGAGTTCTTTTTCTTCCCTCTCTTTGACTCACACTCATGAAGCAGCTTTTGTGCCACCTCTGAACGACACTTTGCAACATCACTGAACTGTTCTTCGTCGTCCCACACAACCTCAAGGCGACGAATGCGGCGCAAGGACGTGAGCTTGAAGAGGTGGTTGTTGTCAATTCGTAGAATCTCACGAACCAAGTCATAGTGGCCATTAGCAGCAGCACAGTCTATTGGTGATGCATACCACCATTGATCCCCTGTGCTCTCCCAACGAAGAGGAAAAAATGTAGTACCCATTGTGAAGATTTGAAAACAATCTCTGAGAGGAGCAAACCAAATCAGTTCAATCTCAACTCAAAACATTAGAAAATAAAGCTTAACTCAGTGGAGGGGAATTTCCTATTCTTGTAAAGACGATTTTTTTGACATATTCTTAACCAACGTGGGGTATTTTAATTAATAAAATATGCAGTTGAACTACATGATTATTTTTGCCAGAAATGTAGAAAATAACTAAAGAATGTGCAAGGAGAAACAGTAGAGACTAATAATAATAAAATAAGCAGTTGAACTACATGAATATTCCCTTTGGAACACGAATTAATTAAATATGATGATGATCATGGGATGAAACAAAAGATAAGATGGGTGTCCTTGATCATGAGTTTGATTAAGTACGAGGGTTGAAGTGGTGTGATAGTAATAAATCATTATAAAATTAGGTAGATAGTGTGATAAAGAAAGCGCATAGTTATAAGTGATCACGGTGCACATGAACATTGCAGCACACAAAAGACCACAGTAGAGGGTATTCTCATATTTTTATGATCTAAGAATCTGAAGGGGGAATGATTAACTTGCAAATAGTGTTGGCAGAAGATATTGCTTTGAAAAAGTAGAGACACTTAGGATGTGATAATTAAAGAGGGTAGGGGAGATAATATTTTCACATAGTGGTTGGTTGCGAATTGCAATGATGTCATAGTAGAAGTAGGAAGTGAAACAATATATGTCATAATTTCAGTATATTGTACAAAAGGACATTGAAGTAATTGCGGAGACTAAACCGAAGCTGACGGTTGTTACTTCACATTTACACACACACACAGGGAGAGAGAGAGGGCCAAGCACGATACCATCAAGTTTGCTTGCTGAGATGTATATTCTATCAATTATGTTATAATATATAAAAGTTGAAGCTCGAAGTATTTAAATGTTTTTTCAATTTTTTATTTTGTATTTCCAATAGTCATTTAAGCATAATTTATGCATTTTTTACTCTTATGGCTCAAAGGAAAGTGTATTTGTTATGGCTCCCAATTGAGGATATGAAAGCATGAGTATGGAATCTTATCCATTAATTGTTCATGGGCAGAGCAAAAGATGCGGGGTCTCCCACTCCCATTAGCATCATCCATCACTATCTTTGAGTTAATTTACTCCAATATCTACCCTCTCTTTTATTTTCCAAGTTTTGAGATACATACACATCAGAGAGACCCATTCAGATCCTCACCTACTTCTATAGTAGGATTTCTCATCAACTTTAAATCTCAATCATCTTTCACATGTTTTCTCCATTTTCATTGAGTTTTATAAAATTAATTTTTATTTGAAGCAATCCACTGAGATAATAAATTTTAGTGGGACAAGTATTTGAACTTAGAAAATGACGCTCAATTTTGGCAATGTACGTGAATTATGATGCTCTTCGTTTCTTTCTCTTTTTGTCATAGAAACATTAAAATTATTATAATACAAATTTTGCTTTAAAATCATTAATGAATTCAAAATTTTAAAAGCTCAAAGTTTGTTCATTTCTTTTGGAAAAATGTAGAAGATCCATTCTGCACCAAAGTGACATTCCCATTTCACCATCACGGACTCACGTGGGCTTCCTACGTAACAACTTGGTTAGTCGAAAGTGGAGTTGAGCTTGCTTAGATCATAATCAATGCTAGCAAGGATACATTTTGGTGAGTGGTTTTCGTTAGGTGCTAAAAAATGACCAATTCACCAACCATTCATTGGTCACATCTCCAGAAAGCAAACGTGAACATGTGAAAGTCAGCTTTAACATTACAATTTCAAGGTACTGCATCCAAAAGCTGCATGCAATGCATGTTGTCTGCTTTTAACGACAACGATGCATGTGATGTCCCTCCCACCACCATGATTTTTGGGCTCTCAATTTTGACCTCTGCCACTCTCCTTTTTCCATGCTTTTGATGATGGGCATAAGGATAATGACAGCTACCATTGTAACAAACCCTTCATGAGATAAGTCAGTTCATGACGGATAAAACCTTTTTATATATATAGTAAATGGACTTAAAAGTCCAAAAGCAAAACAAATAAACCTAAGACTAATCTATAAAACAAATTTTATAATCATTTTCTCTAAAATCAGAAAACAAGGAGTGGGGAGAAGATAACCAACAAATTTCATAAGAGATATTATGACCCGAATTAGCAAGAAATTCCGCATAATCCTTAGTCTCTCTATAAATATGACAGAGACTAATAATTCTAAAGGTAATTAGATTTCTAATTTCTCTAATAATTAGATAAAATTTATTATTACAAATAATATCAAAACTAATCATATGAACAGTTATTTTGGAATTTTCGGCAATTATACCATCTAACTCAAGCTTGTACACAAAACAATGGTATAAAAGAGTAGTCCAAAGTTTTGCATGAAGGGCTGAACAAAACCACATTCTCTTCACAAAGGCACCCTGAGAACTACCTTGATCATTTTGAATCAATCCTCCACAAAATGTTGAAGATAAACTCATCCATCCACATTTAATTTGTACATGTCAATTTGAGGAAGAGACTGCTCAACTAAGAGTTCCTGATTCCAAGTCCTATGAGAAAGAGAGGAACAAAAGCCTACCTTAAATTGAATGGAATCTACATAATTCATAGTTTTAAAGATAAATTTTTCTTGCTTAAGACTTTTTTTTATTGAAAATACAATCATTTCTAAATATTTCAATTAGTAAAATATCAAGAAATGAATTAGTTAAATTGAAATAAAACCAACTATCTAAATCAATATTAAAGAAAGAATACTAATTTGTAAGGGGTCAAATTATTTTAGATTTCTACGAAATAATAAGAACATGTATAATAGAGTCTGAAGCTAGATAGTCATTAGTACAAATATTAGAAGCTAAAAATCCTCTTTTATGTCTTTCCTCACAGTTAATAACTTTCTATGAGCATATTTTTAAAAAAAACATTTTGATTTTAGGAAAATCCTCCTGCTTTCATACTGTAGAAAATAAATTAGACTTAAAAGGAGCTAAAGAAATAGGTTCTACAATCATATTATAGATAGTTTTAAGGGGAAAAACTACATTAGGAGCATGATACCAACTAACCAAATCAGCAATAAAATTTCTAATGAGAAGTTTTGTTTGTTTTGAAATAAAAAGAAAAAATTTATTCCAATCCTATTGATTTTGAGAAATAAAACAAGAGAAAGATCTTTATCAGAGTGTGGAACGGAAAAACAAGAATATCAACTAAACATTTAACACCTAGAATTTAAAAATTAAGCCAAAATTTTCTTTAAATCATTTCCAATATTTCAGAATAAGGTCATCAAGACTAGGGACTTATAATTGTCTATGTTAAAAATGTAACATCCTTATTTTATATTTCTAATTGTGACATAAATTATATTAAAGAAAAACAATTAAAGTAAACACTTCTATTTTTATGGCCTAAAGAATTAAAGAAAAGTCAAACTTTCATTTTAGGAATTTAATCAGTCTATAATACATACATATAAATTTGAAATATAAACAATACTATTTTCTGGCAGAGAAAATTTTTATTTAAAGTGAATATAAACTTTAATGAAAATCACTGACTACCAATATTACAATTACATTTCAAATTAATATTTACAATTCAACTTATCAAAGTATTATGAATTTAAAAGTCAATATTTAGAACAATTACACAACTTTATCAAATTAAACTAGAAGCTTATTAAAATATTACATTTTCAAATAATTTAAATTCTATAGAATAGTTTTTCCTCTCAATGTCACTAGGCTATGATCCTAGAATGAATCAATCTTCCTTTTATCCTCTTCAAAGTCTGTTCCCTAAAAATGTTTAATAAAGGTAAGTATTCTCTGCCCCAATAAGTCCCTTATTTACCAGAAAATGTATAATATTGAAAATATTATCTAATACATTTTTAACCTACATTGATTAATAATAACACACAAATCATACAAATCATTCTCATAACAAAGCACATATATTTTCACACTGAACTTTATGTCATAATACATGTATTATATCACATCAATCAATAAGTCATAATACATCTGTCCTAATCACACCTATCGATACATTACAACACAATCATGGCTTTAACAGAGTTATTATTGAAGCAGACTCCTCTTGTGCAATCAAATTTGTGAACTTTGGTTGCTATTCATCTCACCCTTGTTATTCGATAATCAACACTATTACGTGTCTGATGCAACGCGGAGAGTTTTTGTGTGTCCATGTCCTCCTGGAAGCAAACTTCGTTGCTGACGCTATGTCTAAATTTAGTCATGAAATGCTTTGTAATTTTAGTTTTTTTGAGTTTGTCCCTGTTTGCATTAGTTTACCTTTGTTAGCAGACAGACAAATGAGGTACTAGTTTTGTTAGAGGTAGTTAGTCTCATCCTGTTTTCTATTTTGGGCTTTTAGCCCCTTCGAGTCATAAAAAAAAAAGATACATTACAACACATATATCATAATAACATCAATCGATATGTTACAATGCATACATTATAATCACATAATCTCTATATTACTTCACATTCATCCCACTTTCATCATTATTACTCCTAGGATCCCTCAAGGACTTCATAGTATAGATAGTTGCTGGTGAGTCGCAACAACATGGATACAATGTATGCCGACTCGGCCCTTTTTAGCAAAGGTATAGTCAAGAGTCTAGTTAGAAAATAAGTGTGGCCTGTGAATGCTTTTACTTTTAGTAAATCATTGTGCACCCATTTACAATTAGCATTCACTGTTCTCGTTTCTCCAAGATTTTTCAAATCTTCTTTAGACTTTATAACTTTAGTGTATCTCTGTAACTATCTATACAATAGCTCAGTATTTCTCATTATACTTATTTTCTTAGCATTTCACACTATATTTTCTTTCTCAACACTTCTCATTTCATTTTTCACATCTTTTTCATCGATCAAAATGTCATAATACGTGAGTTGTGATTTACATAAATCCATATATTATAATACATGTATTATAAGTATACCTTTAGATGTATTATAATAGTTGTATCATAATCACACCTATTAGTTAGTTATGACTCACGTATTATAAATACACATCTCATAATTCCATAATCATATCATATTATCTCTTTTATTTATAATATTCTTTCTTCTTTCAAGATCAGTCAAACACTTCCATCAATAATATAAATTCACCTATTTTGGCATACATCAACTATCAAACAACATCTATATTTATTGTATCATATCAGTCTAACACAGAGAATCATCAAACAATGTCACACCACGCAATCAACACAATAAGTCAAAGGCTAGACACCTTCGAACTCAACCCAAGCATACAACTTAATATATGTATTTTCTCAGTATTAACAAAATTTCCTATCCTAAAGTTTGACATCTTCTAATGCATATATCATGCAAATAATATTTCAATATTAATAGTACATATATAATGGTGGTAAAATCTTAAAACTCTTCAAAACTTAGTTGCTCATAATCTT